CGATGACATCTACCTCTGATAACGTCTCCTGAGAATTAAACGAAGAAAAGTATATAGGCAAATGTGCAAACATGGAATGGATTGCACGCGATCAGAACCGAAAGTAACATACGAACAATCGTTACGCCTCTGCGATCGCTCTTCCCGTGTATTGAGAACGTCTCTACGATTTACAAATCGAAAGCCACTATGAAATGTCGTCGATACGTACATGGACATACACATGCACACAAAGCACATATATATAATATAATACGTGCAACGCGGACAAGACAAAAAACCTAATAAATAAAAAAAAAAAAAAAAAAACTGACTGTACCCGAATGCAACGATGAGCGGGGTTGGTTTTGCTAAAAAAAAAACTGACTGTACCCGAATGCAACGATGAGCGGGGTTGGTTTTGCTAAAAAAAAAATTTAAGTATTCAGACGGTTGACTAACTGATGAGTCGACTTACCGGAAGTAGTAACTGCAGAGATGAGAAATGACTGAGATTCAGACGAATACTCGATTAGATACAGCTACACCCACTAACGATTTTGCTCTTTGGCGTCGTTGAATTGCGAAGTTATCATTTACATCTCTTCGAAGCTAGGTAGCAGACGACGCCAAGATCATAATACAGTTGAAAACAATAATATCGATAGGGACAACGGATTTACGATAACTAAGGGACAGAATAAAGTTAGCGTGCAGAATTTTTGAGGAGAACATTCACGATAGCGATAATTATACGAATAATTATAATAACAGTGTAATGGTACGATGCTTATTATGATAGTGCGATGGGAATGATGAGGGTTGACTGGTTGATGGACGTTTGACTAGGGATACTTGCGTATGACGAAGTGTTGATGACAGCGCAAATACTATATGATGCTAATGATGATAACAAAAGCTAATATCGACATGCGAAACAATTCCAATAATAACATCAACATTACAGACAGAGATTGCCTAGTATTTTGATGGTGTTCGTGCCACTGAAGTGTGGCGAAGGAACGCGCTTGAGCCAGAACGTTGACTTAGATTACGGATAAGACACACAGAGATAGGCAATAGAAGCACAAACAGAGCCGATCATAATGTTCCATTATCCATCTAGCACTCTGCCCGTGCAAAATATAGGATAGACGAGGAACAGTCGCAGAACGACGGTATTTGGGCCTGTAACAACAATTGTAACAACGAAAAGCAATAGGAACACTGATGACATACACGTAACGATTCATAACAGTTGTCAAATAACAAACATTATAAATGCTATGGATCATTTCCTTGGTCACTTGCCGAGAACTTGATGACTCTCACTCAGTCCCTCGTTGACTCACCCGTGAACGAACCAAGTCTCTATGACGACGCTGCGGGGAAAAGCCAAAATAAAATTGAGACATCGGAAAACATGTAGAGGCCTGAGGACAGACAAACCAAAGGACAGAGCCTGCAAAAGCAAAAACTACATAACTCATAATACGTTTCGATATAGATACACATACAAAAAAAATACTGAGTTACATCAATGCTGATGCATCTGATGATGATGATGATGGTTCCGACGCATGAACGGAAATCAAGTAGCCTAGGGAAATACGATTAATAATAATGAATTGAATGTTGCTGCTGATGACGATGATGATGTAATGAACGAAAGACGAGCGAGACGGAAATAGGACAGAGGAAGAAAGGAGAGAAAGAGACAAGTGTAGTCTCTGAGGGAGGTCAGTGGTGGCATGCCTCTTTGCTAGGAGACTTTATTATCAATACTGTTATTGATTGAACATAAGCTATATAATATTATATTGTAACTACTTTCCTCTGAGTTAATAAAAAAAAAAAATAAATAAATAATTTAATAAAATTATTGAAGGTTAATACGTACATGCCGGTTGCGTTTTTACTGAATAGTTGTGTCAGAAAGCATGGAACAGAAAAAGAAAAAGATCGAAGAATAGGAAAAGTAACTCTCCAAAAAGCGTTCTTAAGCGGAGATGAAAAAGGACAGAAGCCAACAACCCCTCACCACTTTATACAGACCACACCCCCATTTCTGGGTCGTCGGTCGGCTATCAAGTTCAACATATGTAGCAACTTCACCGAGGACGACTGTTTCTCGGACCTCTTACTTTTGTTTAACAAAGCAAAGTCAAGATATCTCCCTTCGCGAAGACAGGATACGCCAAATAACGATACATCAGTAATAAAAACGAAAACACAAGTTAGGTAGCTCGTTCTAGATGCTAGGTAGATATTAACTGACTGCTATGTAGCTCAGTTTGACAATTTGTTTGATCGTATTAATGAATTAATTGTTAGAAAATGGCACCAGAACTAGCTGGTTGCATCTCTGAATTCTTTCCGAAGTTTTCTTCATAACAGTCAACCATTCAATTGCGTATATTTATAACGTTATGTAATGGTGCTTTTCGAAAATATTGCCTCACCTATTTTTCCGTCATGATCGTGTTCGACGCATTAAAAGACTATTTTTTAGGCAGAGGTAGCAGTATTGTATACTAACTGTTTACTTGACTTAATCCATCAGCCCATCCGTTCAGTGCGGGACCTAAGACCCAATGCGCGTACTGTAAACCGTAACCATTCGTGGCCAATGCGCGCTTTGATTCCGTTGTAGGTAAAATGACGTTGGTCCTAGATGGGCCCGTTAAAACGTGCACCCCATTTGTGGTTTGCTTTTTGCCGTAACGGTAACGTCGATAGCAACCCGCGGTGAGGTAAGCAGGAGACGGCTGCAGCTTCCGCTGATGGGCCCAGGGCCCTTCCCGGAGTCCAGCAGTGCTGGCGGCAGCGCGACCAAGTAATAGTATTGCCATGCTGTGACTATCATCGATAAGGAATATAAACCTTGGGTGAGGGTGAAATAGCTATGAGCAGCCTGGTCGGTTACTTACGTCGTCAAAGCTTCGCCGTTTGGTCGGCTCGCACCGTTGGATTCGCCCGTGTAATCTCGACTCTGCTCATAGTCCCTGGCCCCTCGAATCGGATAAGACTGGCGTCATTGTCGTCTTGTTCTTCTTCGTCTCGTTTGCTTCCAGCACGGAGGCAAAGAACGAAAAGTGTATGTTGCCCAGGTGACGGGGCAGAAGACGAGCATAGACTGAGATCGGGGTGAGTGAGACAAAGAAGCTAGAAAGGGCAGTACGCTGGCTGACTGAAGCGGCCATTAAAGACCTACTGCCTGGGAGGGCAACTAAATGAGTCAGAGGTGTATCAATAGCTGCGGAAAAGACCTCGCCTGGTTAGATCCGATTATGGAACTTCTGTAAAGTGGCTTTTTGGTGGCACGGTGATATTCCTCTTGCAATCCTCAGTGTAGAAATGTACTGCGTTCGGTAGCTCGAGAAACGCAGTTCCTTCACGATGCGTGTAAGCCGCAGTTTAAGACAATTCCTATAATGCTAATGTAAACAGCAGCTTTGTTGCTGCCATCGGAGATTATTTTCGATCGAATACAAATCAACATTAGATGGACTGATATTCAATCTCTTGCGACGATTCATTAGATTGTAATGAGTAAAAGCAGTATTAATCAGTACCTAACAATAACATTGGCGGGAAGTAGGTTTGCGTTGTAGCACGAAAAAGATCAGCATTTTGGACACGTTCGAAAAATGACTCTTAGCGGTTCTGGTGCAGGCCTAGCTATAAGATATGTATCGTGTAGAAACGAGGCCTAAAGCAAATTTTTTATTCTGATATTTGATTTCCTTACAAAGTGCCCTGATGGGGACTTTGACCTTAAAGCATAGTCCATATTAGATGGTTGGTATAGTAATGTTTAGCCGTCCGTTGAAAGTACCTTGCTAAATTTACACCGAGTTTATAGTGTGGTGAAAGACCATCTTTTGTATAATGAAAATCCCGAAATTCTGCTTCAGTTTGGCATACTTTACAATACCTTAGTATGCATTTATAACTAGGGGGGTCTTACTTAGCACAAGCCTCTCAGAAGTCCTTTGATGTAATCTTTCTTCCTTGTACCGCAATAAGCTTGAGTATATCATTCTATAATCATAGCAACCGGCAAATGTCAGCAATCAAGCGATTGTCTCGCGGTTCAAAAGGCAACACCCAAACTAGCTTGCATTACTAGGCACAACTCTATTCAGTTTTGTTTGTTTTAAACGAAAAAATAACTTTCTTTACAATAGAACCTCATATATGTGTATATATATAGAGAGAGAAAGAGAATACAGATCTGAACAGTTATATAGATAGAGAAGCCTAGTAGCGGCCTGTGAATCGATCAATTTCAGTCCCCTATAAATATATCGCGAATTTGGTGCAAAGCTTTATTTCAAGGAAATAGAAGCTGATTCAATCGACACTTAAACACAATGTTACCTTCAGGTTTGATCATTAAAGAAAGCATTTTCAACTATCGGAAACGTCTCGAAATATCTCTTAGGGAAATAAGCACAGAATCGGGCTTTCATGCTTGCGACAAAGCAGATGTAACCAGTTGATCAGCGCGTCGACCGAAAGATCCAGTGAGAGGCCAAGCTTTGGTCATCTGCTCTGGACTTTTCTCTATCGGGCGCGCAGCTGCGATCAATATGACGGCTTCAAATCGAACTCTCTCTAAGACAACATTCGTAAAGTCCAAGATTGTGAGGGAAAAAAAATTCAGGACTGGAGAAGCGGCAGAAATTCGGGGCAAAACTAATGATTCCCCAGAACGAATGCGATGAAGCACAGGAAGTTTGAAATAGACCAGTATGCGCTATTTGTCGACTGAAACCCCGACAACCCTTTAAGCCATTCTGCTTCCTTATAAATCCATGCTTCCTAAAAGATTCGTTCTGTAAGCTGAGACAAATGGAAAGACCTTTTCCACCAACAAGCTTAAGTTGACTCAGAACGGTTCGAACGGATTACCGGCACGTTTTCAGGAGATTGATTTCTACGTCTTCTTTCGTACTACCCTAATACCGTCTCCTCTATATTCCAGCAACAATGACGAAGCCCTTACCTGACCTGGATGCTACATGTAGGTCCCTTTTATTTTTTCCCGCGTTGTACTGCACCGTAACTCAAATTGTGTTTCGAATACATCTCAGTGGTAGTCGGCCTGTCCTTAGTGCCGCTAGAATTGACTGTAGATAAACAGAAAGGTTATTTGCAGGACTGCACAACGGGCGAATAAGCGGTTGGGACACGGGGTAGTGGGAACATAGTTAGCCAAGCCATAGATAAATAGGTGATGGTGCTTAAAACACGAAACGACTAGGTATCTTTTCGCTCCCCCATTTATTAGCAAATATATAGCCGATAACAAGAGCTAGTACACGCTAGGAAGCATTGCGCCACTTATAGTGAGACCTCGGACGAGCCTTTACGAGTATCCCTATTGCTCATTGCGGAGTTTAGCTCAGCCCGAAGTAGCTGACACATCTCATCAAAGTTAAAGCTTCGAAAATACAGGAAGTCTAATGTGTTAAAATCATTTGTGCGCACAACTTAACAGCAAGTTCTTTCTTACTGCTTAGAACAAAAAGCTGTTTGATTATCAGGTATTCATGTTTAATAAGTACGTTTTGACAATGAAAAAATTATCCAAAAAGTATACAAGTTTCACAGGAGTCGTGTCAATAACAAGTGAATTGCTTAGGGTTTAGTATTCTGTTTATCTGCACAATTGATACCCTGGCTTGATGCTGCTTTCATTGTGATCTCGATTTAGTAAACGGAGCAATCTCATAGTTGGTAACTGATGTAAGGTACCGTGTATTATTTATTATATATCACAAATAGAATGTAATGAAATATTCTTTTGTCCAACGATTTATTGTCCCTTCGTTTAGACCTCATGTTAGCAATGACAAAATAAAAATGAAAAATGTCATGACCATATATGACCCATATAATAGCAACTGTCCGGGAAACTCGAATGCTACTAGAAATTTACCACACACTTCCTCTTAGGTATATTTAGTCTGCAGACCGCTCACATAAGTTACCCTTAACAGCACCTAATAGCAGCTAGGTATTTATTTATAATTTGTTCATTATTGGCTACTTTTGTACTGCTACTTCTGGCCACTGTTTCGATGATCCAGGGTACACATTACTGATTCACGTCTCCGTGGTCCTAAAAGGTTATATTATGCGCCCATCGGCCGCTTGGCTTCACCGTCTGGCCGTCACCTACTTTGGTTTGCCGTTCGTTTCTGTTACCAGGTGTCTGCTTCTGGCACTGAATACGTACACCTTTGATCAGAGCAAGTTTGTAACTTTCTCTCTCACAGGGTGTATGTCGGACTACCGCCACCGCTGCTACGCCACGCTTATCCCTAACCGTACCCCGGCAAAACGCTCTGGGAAGAAACCAGCACTGGTCGGTTAGTTCGTCGCTTCGTAGGTCGGCAGGTGGGTAAGAAGGCTACTTCTCCAGTTTGTGGTGGTTGTACTATCGTCAAAGAAACGGAAGCGATCGGTGTCCGTCTTTTTGACATGGCACCGGTTGCACTTTCTCGACTCCTTCCCTCTGTTTCGTCGTTTCCATAAGCTTGTCCCGACCTGCCACGTCACAGCATCTGCCGTTATGCCTCCATCTGCCGATTTACCTAGAGATTTTGCTGGCATCCTATAAGCAAAGCTTGCTGAACGACGAAGCACTGCCATGGTGGTTCGTAGTCGAAATAGCTTAGCTACTTTGTTAGAACGAGCGAAAACGAGAGGCTACTTTTACTGCCAGTACGGTAAGCAGCGCCACCTGGTGAAAACAGGTAGCAAAAAAACCCAAAAGGCTACAACTATCCGCAGCCCCTCTTATTCTTATTCTCACAATCTCTCTCAATTCTTCACGTCAGGCAAGCTGAGGCAGACCTCAAGCAGCCCAGCATCAACAACAGCGGCAGCAGTCGAAGTTTACCTGTGGAAAATGTCTTGTCTGCTTTTATTTCGTGGAACGACCGCATTCACCGGTGCCTGCCTAGCGAGCGACGGAAACTTCGCTTGAGTCGAGCTCCGTACTGCTGTAGCAGGCTTGCTTATCACCTCTTCTATCTCGGCTGTTTAAGCCCCAGAGGAACCTCTCAAATTTGCTTTGTGCATATCTGTAAATCAGTCCTCACGACGCTATTATAGTACATTGCAACGTGAGGAGAAATAACTGGTTTCTTTCATGGAGTTAACCAGTGGAGTAACAATGGCAGCAGCAGTAGCAGGTTCTAATAGGGACGGCCCGCCGCAAAACAGAACCAGAGGACCAGGTCGTGCAAGACTGTCGAGCACACTATTTTTATATTAACAGCATTACTAGTCCGTCCGGCTGTGGCTATATTTCTGCTCCCCTCTCCACTGCTCAAAGCCTACAAAACATGGCAGCGCCTTTTTTTATTCGTCCCCCAGAACCCCATCGGTGCCATTAGGGTCTTTCTCTTTTTCACAGTACCGCCACTTTTGACTCCTGGCAGCTGCTTGACCACAGCCATCGAAGCTAAATAATAAGTGATCGCTATTTGTTGTCATGGGTTTGCATTGGAAAAGAAGACGACCACTGAGCAGTGCACCGCATGTTCTTGCTACTCCTGTTGTCAGCGGTATTGTCTTGTCATTGAAATGGTCCATATCTTTCTGGTGATTTCGTCCTACACTCCGACGATGGTGGGGACAAAATGGGGCGAGAAGCAAGTAGACGGCTGAGGCCTCAAATAGCCTTGTCTCCGCCAGAAGCGTTCGAAGCTAGACTTGTGCCAAAGCCTGTTTGTAAGACTTGAGAGAGAGTCTTTGTAAGCATGTTTGTGCGAGCCTTAGAAATTCAAGTGCAGGTGGCCTTTAGTTTCTATACGAGGTATGTAAGCACCACATTACTTAATCGGTGGATATGATAACCGCATTTTATTTGGTGTTGGGAAAAAGCCAATGTTCGAAAGCTTGTCACAGTGTCCTTATTTTGTGCAGTGTGTTCTCCTCCTTCTTACCGTTTCCGGCTGGAAGAGAGTGGGCGGCGATAGAGGCGACCGCGTGGGAAAGCGGACTTCTAGAGAGGATTTTGTTTAAGGCGTCAAGAATTTGTGTGGCAGGAAAACGAGCTTCACTGCGGGCGGAGAACTAGCTAGGGCAATGTCCCATACGATCTTTCATTCTAGTAGACCTGTTTCTTATATGAGAAGCAATGAAAGGTCTGCGCAAGCGGAAAAGCTGAAGACGGGGCATCTACAGGAGGCTGGACAGCAGACGATACGCACAAGAATTTCTCAGATCTCCCGAGCTCCGACTAGGAGGTAATGCAACCAATAAATGACAGTATCGGCTTCGATTGCTGACGCTTTCGCCAGTTCTTAGTCAGTTTTAGCCATCCTGTCCCCCCACGCCTCTAACACTGGACTGGAACAAACACAGCTAACACAAAAAAAAAATAGAAGCAGTGAAATTCCGATGAGAAAGACGACTGACCGAGTCGATAGACTTCAAATAAACAACCGGCATCTTCACCTATTTAGGCAATTATTTAATTTGTCATTCACTGATAGATTGTGCTTGAGCTATTCTAGATAAAAGTAACGCCGAAATCCTCATACAGTCTGCTTTGCCCCTATTCGCAAAACGCACGAGTCGCTCATTCGTTAACACTGGATCGAGTAGAGCCTGTCTGCCTAAAACGAGTTGCGGGCCTCAACCGTATCACAAGGAAACGGGTTGTCTAGATGTAGGCAGATGCACTGCTTTTTGTATAGGATCTAAGGAAACAGCACGGGCTACTGAAAACCTAACACTACAAAAGGTACATGAAGTCGTATGAACGCAAAGTGACTTGTATCGACTCACAGTTTTTTTTCTGCAACGAATAAATCGTAATGAGTGACGAGACCAAACTGCCACATAGTCACTGAATATGCAACACACGGATTTCGCTATATGTTTTGCAAAACAGAAGGTGACAACGGCCCAGTTGATATCTGTATCTGCAGCCCATTATATCATGCAACTAGTTGCCATTTTCTCTAACTCGACCAGTGACAACTTCGAAAACCTTGGCGTGCTTAGACCAAGCATGATCTTACATATTTATGTTTGTAACTATAGGATTGATTTAATTTCGAATAAATTCATCATCATTATTACGACGATCACATTCATTCTACAGAAGCCTGTAGAAAGGCGGTCACTGGACCAGTACTAGGGCAACGGCAGGTGTCGGTGATACCGCGTTCCATTGCTCTCCATTAATTTAACTGGATAGGGTCCGAACGAACACATTCACGACGGTACGCGCTCACTCAGAAAGAGCCAAGTGCTCTTATATCGTCAATATTTACATGAATTAAGCGGTCAACTCTAAAAGAACTCAACATCAAACACCGAGCCCTTACGTTTCACTTGAATTGTCCTAGTCGTCCTGCCGACGCTGTCTCTTGTTGCTAAAATATGGTGACTGTGCATGCATCTCGTCATCGCCAATATCATCAGTATCAATGAGCGTCGATATAAGTGTGTCAGGATCTAAGTAAGGTTTTATAGTAATTGTGTACATACACCAATGTCGATCAGGGGTAATACCGGTGTTATATTTTGCACTGCAGTATAACACTGCGCCCTAGCGGTCTGCCGCAGCAGGCTCGTCTATTGTATGGTTCTGTAAAAGCAAGTCAGCTACGTCTTTGACTCACTGTGTTGTACGTCTTTGTGTGTATGTAGTTTTTTTTCGAAAAAAAAAAACGATCCTAAACGATAGGTGAAGACCATCAACGCTGAGCGAAGACGGCTGGTAACACTTGAATCTCAATAAAGAGATTTTTTTCTTCTTGCTGCTGGTGCCATTATACTCCACTAAGGGTGGTACACAGATCAACACCAGTGGCATCGTGCAGCAGCTGCGTTTTTGCCTTCTGAGATGCTGTAAGTACCCATTGTTCATTGTATGGACGACTAACGAACAAGCCAGTTCGTCAGCCGAAATGAATTTGGAAATAGGAAAGGAGCGGTGCGAAAGGATCGCATATGGAAATAAGTGTGGAAGGCCGCTTGCGATGAGGCGTTTATTTCGACAGCTTTGAGCAGGGGGTGCTTATAGCATTGCTTGAAACAAAGTGGAAAGCGTTTGAATGAGAAAGCGAACAAACGGTATTGATAATGCACATGAGACCTTAAC